GGGTGGGCCGGTGGAAATCCTGCCGTTCCTCTACTTGGGCAGCGCTTACCATGCCTCCCGGAAAGACATGCTGGATGCCTTGGGAATCACGGCGTTAATCAATGTATCGGCGAACTGCCCCAACCACTTCGAAGGGCACTACCAGTATAAAAGTATCCCTGTGGAGGACAACCACAAGGCAGATATCAGTTCCTGGTTTAACGAGGCGATTGATTTCATAGGTAAATGAGCTCTCTTTACAGTCTGTTCTTTTTCTGGGGTAATATACCCTGGGAAGTGATTTTTGGGTATTGTTTTCCCCAGTAAAACCTACATTTGAGACTGAGGGATTCTATTAGGGAGATGTGCTTGGGGAATATTTTCATTTATTTTATCCTACTCAGAGCAGAGATCTTAGCTTCAGAAAGCTGTCTGAAATCTTGAATCAAGAGGCATTGGTCTTGCAGAGAGCTAGTGAATTTAAGCGGATCAGAATTAAAGTAATCTTGCAAGAACTGCTAAAGTGACCTGGAGGAGCTATTAGTATAATTGGAATTGGAGCCCAGAATGAAAATAGCTAGACTGCTGGTTCCCTCAGGACAAAGGCTCTCTTTGTCTCAAAAACATGGGTGAACCTATTAGGCTAAGGAAGGGATGGATTAAAGAAATGTAAAACAGGAGCCTGGGCTTTCCCACCTCTGGAAGCAGTGGGACTTGTTTGCTAACTGTGTGTTTTAATTCTTTCAGACTCTGTTAAAAATGATGGAGGAAGGGTATTTGTGCACTGCCAGGCTGGCATTTCCCGGTCAGCAACCATCTGCCTTGCTTACCTCATGAGGACCAACAGAGTCAAACTGGATGAAGCCTTTGAGTTTGTGAAGCAGAGGAGAAGCATCATCTCCCCGAACTTCAGTTTCATGGGGCAGCTGCTGCAGTTTGAGTCGCAGGTCCTTGCCCCCAACTGCTCAGCAGAAGCTGGTAGCCCTGCTATGTCAGTATTGGACAGAGGAGCATCGACCACCACAGTCTTTAACTTTCCAGTCTCCATCCCTGTTCACACCTCATCCAGTGCTTTAAGCTATCTCCAGAGCCCCATCACCACTTCCCCAAGCTGCTGAAAAGCGGGTGAAAATATGGCCAGAACTCAGACTTGCTGTCTCAGAAGTGCAATAACTACAGGGACAGTGTCATCAGTCACTCATGTTTTGTGGGGAACCATCCATGCATCCCAGAACAGTGTCATTAATGGAGAGGAGCTCACCTGATGCCAGAGAACTAGGTGTTACTGACTGTTCTGCTGACTTCTGAAGCCAGTATCTGGATGCCTACACAGATATCAAAGGACACTGTCTCTTCTTGAGCTGTTCCTCCTTGTCCTCTGTCTGTCCTAAGCCTGCTCCATGTTTAGTAGCATGCTCACCAGTATTCCCATTCCTGGACACTTTGAGCAACACTGATGCTGTCCCCGTTTATGACAGTCCTATTTATTTATTTTTACATTAGTGCATTGGGGTTTTTTGCCTTCACAAACCTAAAGTTTCATTTCTAGAGAAACCAAATACCTCAGTATTTTTTTTTTTTTTTTGGTACTATAATCCTGTGTGTGTATATATCTGTCAGCTCTTCTTGTTTCCCAAGCACTGACATGAAAGCACCAGGCGAGTGCTTTTTTGAGTTGCCAAGGGTTGTATGTTTGCTGATTTATTTATGATGTGAAATAATATATTTCTTCTTATGAAGACATAGTTTTGTTACATGATTATAACTTTTTTTATACAAACAGAATAAATTATGGTATTTCTATTGAGCTGGATGATACATTCTTTAATATCTTGTATTTTACAGTCCCAAAACCCAAGTGTGGAAGCTCCCAGGGGAAGAACCATAGAAATCTGAATTTGCAGCTCTGCTGACCTCAGCTCTTGGCTGAATTAAATAGAAGAATGGGTTTAAACAACATAATTGACTGGAACTACTGCTGCTCCTTAACCTGAGCTTTTCTTTGTCCCTGTATAATTACATGCAGTGGCAGAATGCCAAAGCTGGCTTCTCAGCTGTAAGGTGGATTTGGCTGCAGTGATGGCCACAGAGCTGTAACGGTTTGAGATGAGCACAGGGCTACAGTGAATTCCAAATAGCCCTTCTCTTAGAAAGGAAGAAGCAGCTTCCTTATTACTTGTTTACTTCTAATGCTTCAAAGGTTAAAGCTAAAAATTAACCTATTGGTAACAGATCTCCACTGCTCATGAGTTTGTGCCAAGGTGTCCTCTTTTTCCATCCTACCTCCTTGATTCCTTTTCACAACTCAGACTGCCTCATGCCTGGAATGAAGTATTTGGCTTGCTGGGCTATGTCTGTAAATAAATCGGGGCATAACAAGAGATCAGGTAACCAACAAGACACTTTCTCACACAGACCCAAATAAATGCTCTCCTTGTGTAGATTCTCACTAGAGTGACTTTCATCTGGCATTTAGTTGAGGCAATGGAAAGTTTTACATATCATATCAAAAGCCAGGCAGGGGAGCTCTAACAGACCAGCCCTCCTGGCAGCTCATGGGCAAGAGGTGCTGAGTGAGGGTGACAGGCAGGATGCAGTGCAGGGTTAACTCCTGCATGGTGTGACAGAACTGCCCATCTCTGTGGGGTGAGCTGTGTATGTGGGGAGCAGCATTGCTGTGACATACCCTTGCCAGGGGAAGCTGATAGGGAAGAGACACAGCTGGAAGCTTGCCTTGCTAGGCAGAGTGATAATAGGGGTAAGAGGGAGATGGTTGCTGGGGGAGCACTAGGACATCGGGTGTCCCGCCTCCAGAAGGGAGCCACCAGTCCTTGCCTCTCTGATATTCCAGGAGTCAGATCTTACCTTTGCCCCAGCAAAAATGGGTTTTACTTGGGCAGATACAGCAGGTTATGACTTTCCGTGTAAAATCATGGCATTTTAACAGTTATGATCCTAAGCTTGATGATGAGGGGGTATTTTAAGCATAAAGCTGCTGTGGTCTTGTCGAGTAACTGGAAACAAGCAAA